AGTAAGGCTTTCGATAGAGTTCCACACCAGAGGCTATTGAGGAAACTTAAGGCACACGGAATAGGAGGAGAAATTTTTTCCTGGGTAGAGGCATGGCTGACAAATAGACAGCAGAGAGTTTGCATAAATGGGGAGAAATCAGAATGGGGGCACGTCACAAGCGGTGTTCCTCATGGGTCAGTGTTGGGCCCGTTGTTGTTCACAATTTACATAAACGACATAGATGAGGGAATAAATAGCGTCATAAGCAAATTTGCTGATGACACCAAAATAGGCCGTCCAATTCATTCTAATGAGGACACTAGAACACTCCAGGATGATTTGAATAGACTGATGCAATGGTCGGAGAAGTGGCAGATGCAGTTTAATATTGACAAATGCAAAGCTCTAAATGTTGGACAGTTAAATAACAATGCCACATATAAACTAAATAATGTAGATCTTAATACTAGTTGATTGCGAAAAGGATTTAGGAGTTCTGGTTAGCAGTAATCTAAAACCAAGACAACAGTGCATTAGTGTTCGCAATAAAGCTAACAGAATTCTTGGCTTCATATCTAGAAGTATAAATAATAGAAGTCCTCAGGTTGTTCTTCAACTCTATATATCCTTGGTTAGGCTTCATTTAGACTATGCTGCTCAGTTCTGGTCACCGTATTACAGAATGGATATAAATGCTCTGGAAAACGTACAGAGGAGGAGGACAAAGATGATCCCATGTATCAGAAATCTTCCCTATGAGGATAGACTGAGAACCCTGAATCTGCACTCTCTCGAAAGGCGTAGAATTAGGGGGGATATGATCGAGGTGTATAAATGGAAAACAGGAATAAATAAAGGGGATGTAAATAGCGTGCTGAAAATTTCCAGCCAAGACAGGACTCGCAGCAATGGTTTCAAGTTGGAAAAACTCAGATTCAGGAAGGATATAGGAAAGCACTGGTTTGGTAATAGAGTTGTGGATGAGTGGAACAAACTCCCGAGTACAGTTATTGACGCTAAAACGTTGTGTAGTTTTAAAAATAGGTTAAATAAATACATGAGTGGGAGTGCATGGGTGTGAGTTGGACCTGACTAGCTTGTGCCGCTGGGTCTGGTGCAGTGTTCAATCCTTGAGTGGAGATCACCAGACTGGGTGGGTCATTGGGCTAATCCGGGGGGGGGTCATTGGTCTAATCTGGGGGGGGTGACATGGACCTGCTCCGCATGGGTCAGTAGGCCTGTTGCAGTGTTCCTTATGATTTGTTTAGTACTAAATTATTGTAAACGTATTTAAAATATATTTAGTTGGGTTAGGGTAAAATAAATTGCTTTTGTTATAATAAGGTTAGGTAAGTTTTCTAAGATTCTTTTGGTGCAAAATTAAAAATTTTTACATTAACATTAATGAAATATTTATATATATATATATATATATATATATATATATATATATATATATATATATTATATATATATATATATATATATATATATATATAATATATATTATATATATATATTATTATTTATATATGTACTACAGTCGTGTAAAGTGAGAGTAAAACGGAAGCCTATAATTGTTTTACATAATGGCAGGAGTGCTGGTGTCTCTTTTCTGTTTCATAAACGTGCAAGGTTTGGGTTTGTCTTGCTACTTCTACTTACACTTAGGTCACACTACACATGCATGTACAAACATATATATACACACCCCTCTGAGCTTTCTTCTGTTTTCTTAGTAGTTATTGTCCTTGTTTATTTCCTCTTATCTCCATGGGGAAGTGGAACAGAATTCTTTTTCCGTAAGCCATGCGTGTCGTAAGAGGCGACTAAAATGCCGGGAGCAAGAAGCTAGAAACCCCTTCTGTATATATTACTAAAGTTAAAAAGAGAAAATTTCGTTTTTCTTTTTGGGCCACCCTGCCTCGGTGGGATACGGCCAGTTTATTGAAAGAAGAAGAATATATAAATTAGGCAATAGTTACTTCAAATAAATAATGATGAACTTACAAAGAGGGAGATGAAGGCAACGTTAGCAGCGTGACGGTTGGAGCCCCAAGCGTCCAGGTAGACAAGACCACCTGGGGTGTACTGGGCCTCAGTCTTCAGGTAAGAAAGGAACGCCTTTAAGGCTTCCTCGTACATGGTACTGCTAGGGTCTACTAGTGAGCCCAGAGCCTGTGGAGAAACAGATGTAAGTTTAATATGTGGATGTGTTTTGCTATTGTATATGTGGCATTAACACTGATCATTTACCAGGTAAATTCCACACAGACAAAAAATAAAATACGGAGTAGAATGATCTGAATATTTCTGCCCCGAACTGAGATAGTCTTCAGTAGATAATTTGTTAAAGAGGGTCTGTTTGAGGCTGTAACATACATTACTACTACCAATGTATTTGGTGGTCTTTAGTTATTCTATAGTCTTGGGGTTTATGCCTGCATGAGAGCTATTGTGTAAATAATTATTTCCGTCATAAGAAAAAGCAGGATATCAAGAAGATTTGCGACAGTTGAATATATTATTAAATTACGTAACAACATTTATTAAACTAGAAAAATATTTCACCATTTTGTTGGAACATTTAAATAGCGACTCTAGTTACTTACGTAAGCGCCGGCCTTCTTGTCATCCCAGGAGAACTGTAGTGCGCCCTCGCCCAGAGTAAACTCATCCCAGGCTGCCTGAGCCTTGGTGAGGTAGGTGTCATCTTCTGTAGCTCGGTACAGCCACAGCGCTCCCCACAGCAGCTCATCTCCGTACCCGCTCCACGACCTGTTATCATGGTAAATACCAACCAGGATGACATTTAAAACTCATCGAGAGAATGCCATAACGTCTTTGCTACTCATTGCTACCTTTCGGTGATACATGTAAAATTACTTCTATTTTCTCCCTCATTAGATGTTGAGCCCAGCACCAAACTTTCGTATTTAGTGTTACTGATTCAACTGGTAAAGTAATATTTCGTCACAGGACACAATTCCATGCTTGGCGCTAAGGAGAGTTGTTTTTATAGTGCTTATTAAATATATTATTAAATACGGCATCAGTAATGAACATGAAGTTGTATATAAAATTCCTGCATAGCCCCCATTGAGGAATAAACAATTTGTTTATTTAATAATAATAATATATTATAAATATATATATATATATATATATATATATATATATATATATATATATATATATATATATATATATATATATATATATATATATATATATATATATATATTATTATATATATATATATATATAATACTAACTAGTTCGTGATGCATCTAGTAAATAAAAGTCATTACGCCAACCTGTAGAAGTCTGTAGCGTCGGTGATGGACAAGTGGTACTCGAGGCGGTACTCATCACCGAAGGCATAGAGCTCCTTGGCTACGTCCAACAGCTCGGCCGAATAGGCGGAGTCAACCTCCTGCAAGACGTAAAGTAGGCTTAAAAATATTATTAATATTGAATAAAGGATATCTAACATGAAGAACTAACTTTATGTTTCAGGTGAATTACTTAGGTATAGAGAAAGCAATTAGGTGCATCTCAAGGGAGGGTCCTCAGTCTCATGTTGTATGATGTAGGTTTACCCAGTCTTCCCTGACCTTTTTATAGTGTTAGAGGCACGAAGAATGGAGAAGAGTGTGATAACTGATATTGAGTGATAGATTGCATCTTCTGGGAGAGCCTCACTGTAGGTATTCAGGAAACTATAATATCAGAGTAAGTGAGGTTGGTGTAGAGGGGGCGGTAGAATGGTGTGAAAGGTAAAGTGATGTGGGAGAAAGAGCATGACAGGAACGAGGCAAAATAGAATATGGTGAGAGGGTACACAAGAGAGGACAACAACAACGTTACCTTGAAGACAATGGAGGCAGCAGCGAGGGCGGCAGCAGTCTCACAAGCCAGGTCACTTCCTGCGGAAAAAAATGAAAACCTCGTTACTTCTCATCGCGGTGTTTTTTAAGTAATGAAAAACCTTAATTTACGTATGAATGCAACGAGAGATGAGCATTACTCAGTGAATATTCTCAGTGAAGTAATTACTTTTAAATTTAAGGCTGTTGAGAAACCTTCAACTGTAAGGAAAAACCTTTCGTGCAGGTATAACTTTTGTGCAGGGATCTATACAATTGCCTGAAGGCTTTAGTTCATAGTCAGCTCAAAAGTTAACCATTCAAGCTACAGCTTTACCGACCTGGTGCGCTCTTGTCAATCTTCATGGAGGGTCGTTCCATGTGCATGTCTTCAGGTCGACCCCAGAAGCTGTGGTCCACTTGTCCCGCTCCAACCTAACATCAGACAAGTGAAATGTGAAAAAAAAAAGATAATTTATATCTTTGCTAATGCAAAAATACATATCAGTTCGTGTTCCATTTCATGAGATGGACAACAGTATTTAAACCTAACAAATGCAATAAGTCTTAATCGTTAATGATTATCTGAAAAAAAATTCGCTTGCATTGTTGCATTATTATCATTACACTGTAATATAAAAAAATCTAATTCTTGTATATACGTTTATTAACGTTTAATGAATGTCGAAATTTGTCAATTTCTTTAGTGTGATTATTAGTGTCAACTATTTTACTAGTAATAATTTTTCATCAACTAGATACATTTGTGATTAATATTGTCAGTTAAGTATCTTACTACACGTATAACTAACAGCGTCAACTAATGTACTCTAGGGAAATTAGTGAGTGTTACAGGTGCGACCTGGAGATAGTGAACGTTGATGAGGTTACAAGGAACGAGAGTGGACGCACCTGGCCGTAAAATTCATATTCAGCAGTGTGGGCCTTGAGGAAGTAGTCTGTGGCCCACTTGACTGCAGCACGACCATATTCCGTTTGACCTGAAGGTAGACACACGTTAGTACTGCCAGCGACCTATTATGGACATGATTGAGGCATGTTATATACGTGTTTTGGTCGTGTTTCTGATATGTTACAGCTGTTATTTTGGATGTGAAGGTGATGCGTTACTAACGAGTGCTTAAGTGGACGTGTTTTTGAGCAAACCATACCACGGGTGGGGATTGAACTCCTGGTGAGTGAGTCGTAAAACTCCAGGCCAGCGCGTAATCGTCTCTATACATTTTTGAGTAGTAAACGATATGCTGTGGACTTGTTTTGGACATGTTACTGATAAGTTATATATTTTTTTTATGTTAATATATACCATAAATTGTTGTGGGGTATTGTACCTCATTTGGGAACGCAGTGCAGACGTGTCCTGAATTTTGTGTAGGTTTATCTATATGTTGATAATTTACCGGAGATGTGCTCAAGTAAGGTCAGGAATTTATTATTAGAATTACGATATGTACGGTCATTATTGATGTATAGTAACATCAGAGTTATTCGATATTTAACATATAACAAAATAGACTTAACTACTTACCAGCTTTCTCATAACCCTCAGCAAAGTCGATGAGCCCCCAGGCCAGGACAGTGGCTGTATAGGCCATCGGGAAGCCAAACTTAACGTGGTCACCAGCTGTTGGGGAAAGATTTTTCCTAGGTCAGGCAGGTGTTACTGTAGCTGGCAGGTGGTGGTTTGTATATTGTTCATATACTGTACATACTCTAGCGGACAGACAGACAGACAGACAGACATAGACACACACACACTACCCCTCTCTCTCTCACCGTCGTAGTAACCGCCAGTAAGGTCATGACCCACATCAGAGCCATCGCCCAAGGCAGAGTCCCACCTCCATGGAGTAACACGTTGATCATCAGGCAGATGACCCGACCGCTGAGCTTCGTAGAACAGGAAGGACATGCACAAGACCTAGAGGTCAGGGAGGATACCAGTTAGGATATATGGAAGTTTAGGGACACTAAGAAGGAACCCAAACAGGCCATTCAATAATTCCATTTGATTTAGCGAATTTGTCATGGTACTGACCTGGGCGTAGTCATATTTCCCCATTCCAGTAGGTTCGCAGGTGTTTATGAAAGGTGTCTCAGTGGTCCACTGCAGGGTCCCGTCTGTAGGTGAGTAAAATGTGACTAGGGAAAGAGGCAGAGGCGACAGGAATTTGGCATTTAAAGGAAATGAATGTGAATGCAGAAGCAATAAAAAGAAGGAAAAATTAAATATTTTATATGCAAGGGGGAAAGGATGGAAGTGCAATGATAGAGAAAAGAGCTGCTTTCATTACGAAGCAAGCAATAAATGTTTAGAGGGAAAGGGAATGACTCACGAAATCGTAATGACACGATTGCAAACAAACCATACCACGGGTGGGGTTTGAACTCGCGATCTGGAGTTTTGAGACTCTTTGACCGCTGGTTCGAACCCACCCGTGGTATGGTTTGGGAAGGGAATGGTTGAGGTACCCATTTTATTATCAAAAATGTAAAATGCCTAGGTGTGAAGGAATGGTTAAGGAAAAATTGTGTTTATGTGAGGAGAGGCATCTAATGTTTCTTGTTTTTATTTCTTTATACTCAAGGTTAAGCTCTTTTTTTCAGCCTATTATTGAAGGGGATGCATGAGGATGCAACAAGCAAATAAGCAAAATCCTTTACCCACCGCAAACATCCTGGCCATTCAGATCAATGCCAACAATGTTGGGCTTGACGTCAGTGTAGGACACCTTGAAGTGGAAGGGCTGTATAATGACGCCCGTCTCGTAGAACCTATCGTTGTAAAACCTGTAGTGAGTGTCATCGATCTTTTCCAAGGAGCCGTCCCAGAACTGTGGATCAGAAGAAACCACGTTGAAAACTAATTCATGATCTTGCATAAATTAAAGACCAGTATAGGGCCCAGAATAAGGTTGATAACGTTGGCCTAACTCTTAGGTACTTATTCATTGCTTAGTAAAAAAAAAAGCAGCCACTTGCCCATGCACCTCATCTCACCTATCGAACCCCAGTCCCACTGGTTGAGAGCCAAGCTTTCTATCACTAAACTTCATATACGATACTTTATGTATTTGAAATCCCTGGAGAAAATATTTTGCTAGATTTGTCGCAGTAATGACGAAACTCACAGTTATGCTGTCAGGAGGAGAGTCGAAAGTAATTATACAGTCAACACCATCAACTAGTGGTATGAGGGTCTGGGCAGTGAAGTTGGCATCGTAGCTGTTAGGGGTCTCAGTGATCATGGAGATGGTCTCACACATCTGAGCCTCCACTCCTGTAGAGTGAATAACTTAATATACTACACAGTGGAACAGAAATAAATATTTAATGAGCCTAACACAACAGATCCAATTTCCAGTGTTTTTTCTTTTTAATTAACATGTCTAGTTTGTATTTCGTGTGGAAATATCTTCATGCATATCATATATCCATAAAATGTTTCTTGAAGATGCCTACGACCTGAAAAATTATGTGTAAATAAAGAGGCCGGATACACGATTCAGTACCTGTGTACAGGAGTGTGAGGCTGGCAACCCCCAGCAGGAGGGTCTGAACGAGGACTCGCAACATGTCTTCGGCTTGAGACACACTGGTAAAGGCTGCTGGTGTCTCTCCGGTTATATATCTGTTGGGTCTAACTCGCTATCAGTAACAGTCACCAAAAATAGTGAATTTTTTTTTAACCAACGGATAAGTGTTCCGAATATTACTATTAAATCTTATTTTTTAATTTTGTTGCTAGATTTTCTATTTCGTGACATATGGGCATTTTTATCTCAATCACTCCACAGTTTGTACGGAAAGTTTAAGTTGGAAATTAACTTTAGTTGTCACAGAATAAGATAAATTATGAAAATAATTTGATGTTAAATTACTTATTCCTTATCACAAAAGCATTTGACTTTATTCCATAATTTTACCCATTTACCTTATTAAATAAGACTGATTTATCATTGGTCTCACAAAGTAGCCCAGCTTCGAACTACAAGAAATTTGAACACTGATTTAAACGTAGCCTGTTTTTCTAAATGCCACCCGAACACCAGAAATTTCGCAGCTGGTTGTTATAAACTGCTTATCTGAGGTTAAACGCACGTTTTTAGATTTATCTTGACTAGCCTAATCCAACGAAAGCCTAACCTAATTTAGCGTAACCTAAAGTAAAATAAAAGCGTTTAGAATTTTACCTTGTACAAGAGGATTGGTTGCCAAAAAAAAAATAATATTGTACCCGGCGTTCATAAAATTCCTTGCTAAAACAGGAAAATTTGAATTACTAACGTTAATGAACAGAAAAAAAATGTAAGAGTTACTTAAAACAGTCCTACATTTGTACAGCATATTAAAAGATTATCCACAATATTAGCCGGAAATTTGCTTTCATTACATACTGAACAATTTTTAAGTATAAACGAAAATTTTCAATTAGTATATGATATATGATTACATTATGACCCAATTTCAACATACCAGAAGGTTATTTTAAACGATTTGAAAGGAGCATTGAAGAGGTAAAGACAGTTTCGTTACATTTCGGTTACTGTCTATGAAAGACAGTAACCGAAATGTAGAGAGAAACAGGAAAAAATGTTTACTGTATGAACCTAATTACTGATTCTGTATACATGAGTTCCTGTCCCTCATTATATTTCTCTTGTAAACTTTCACACTCACTTGAAGTCTCTCCCATTGTTTTGCTGCTCATAAACTTTTTTCTAACAGACCTAGCAAGTGGATGACCCCACGCAGGTGGGTGACCCCACGCAGGTGGCCTGACACTTCGGTAACATCTTCAACAGAATGTACATTCGTGGAGTGTTTCACTAATATCGTATGCCACTACTTTTGGTGGTAATTAAGCGTCAGAAGTGAGAACTCGTTCAAGAATTTGAAAAATGGGCTAGTTCTCTATATACAATAAACTATAACTGATGATTATTCTTGATAAATGGAACGGCGAGATCGAATGTTGAAACACTGGAGCATGTAAGAAATATAGAAATCAAAGGTTGAAAATAAATAGCGAAGTGTGCGGACAATCAAGACACTTACATCGGGCAAGGAAAAAAAGGGGAGTGATTTTAAAAGGTGCTTAATGACAATTATATTGCATTAATATAAGGTATGATATATGAAAAAAAAATATAAATAATCTATGCAGATAAAACTAACTGCAAAAGTTACTGAATTTACTTAAAAAATGTAACTGACACAATATATGTACGGCAGTTTAATGAGACTATTAATTTATTCCATGTCATTTTATAGCTTACGTTAATACTGTATAATTATATCTATGTAAAAAGTTTTAGACTATTAATAAATAAAAACTGTTGAAAGCCTTAACGGAGAGAGTCACGGCACAACAGTCATGACTGCGTGTGTCTTGTTACTGACTTCTCTCATCCTAAACACAGGATGCGCACTATATTGGGCACCAACTGAATATAATGACAAATAAAACTTAAAACTATACATACATAAGGCTGTCCATAAATATACAAATGCGAAATATAAATTATTACGTAAAGAGTAATAAATAATTTATTTATCGTATTTAAAAGTCATGGGGCATGATAAATACTCCTACCAGGAACAATTTTATAATTTGACTTACATTACCGTTTAAATTATATATAAATATCACTTTTGACGTAAGCACAGAGAATTGTTTATATTCGATTACATTATCACATCGAAAATATAAGAGATAACATATGAGAACCATATAGCCTTGTCTCTACCACGATAATAGTGAGGACATGTGATTTTGATATACACCGGCACATACATACATACTGATAGCACGCAGATGTAGAACATATTCATACAAGTATATACTCGCATGCAAACAAAGAATAGGACCTGGAAGTAGAAATTATGCATAATTTTTCCCTGAGTAACCTTAGTGGAATATATGTTATGTGGGAATTTTAAGTATTCCTCTATAAACCTAAAGAATGATTAGGCTACATTTTTCTTCATAACAAGAATTAATACTTCATTACATTAACAGAGCATCGTCATAGAATCCTCACCTAGCTAAACACAAAGCAAAAAGAAAAAGGTTGAGAGACGTATATCTGAATTGACTTGCAGTGGATCGCAGCTGCAGGCTATTCTAACTTTTCCAAGCTTTCAGTTGGTGACTGGTTTCACAATTCATTATTGTAGCTTCATGGTCTGGTATTTGGCTGGCATTTTGTTGGCAACGGTACGAACTTCTACCAAACAGATACAATGTTTATTACATTTTTTTTTTCAGACTCATTGACGACAGTTGGACAAAAGATATACTCGGGCACTGGTTGATCGGCGGGATGAGTGTTGTGTAAAATATTTCAATGCTTACAGGTTAGTAGGTGGTTTTAGAATTAATTTTTGTAGCCGCATTGCCAAGTGTGGAGAACGGTTCACTAGCATTTTGGTGGTCCAGGTTTGTACCCTGCCTAACCTCTTGAAAATGTCCTTACACACACACACACACACAAACACACATACACACACACATACACACACACATACACACACCACACACACACACACACAACACACACACACACACACACACACACACACACACACACACACACACACACAACACACCACACACACACACAACACACACCACACGCACACACACACACACACACACACACACACACACACACACACACACACACGACATGATGGAAGGAATAGACTCTGAAGTGTCCCTGTTCGCAGATGACGTGAAGTTGATGAGAAGAATTAAATCGGACGAGGATGAGGCAGGACTGCAAAGAGACCTGGACAGGCTGGACATGTGGTCCAGCAACTGGCTTCTCGAATTCAATCCAGCCAAATGCAAAGTCATGAAGATTGGGGAGGGGCAAAGAAGACCGCAGACAGAGTATAGGCTAGGTGGACAAAGACTACAGACCTCACTCAGGGAGAAAGACCTTGGGGTGACCATAACACGAGCACATCACCGGAGGCACACATCAACCAAATAACCGCTGCAGCATACGGGCGCCGGGCAAACCGGGAGAATAGCGTTCCGATACCTTAATAAGGAATCGTTCAAGACACTGTACACTGTGTATGTTAGGCCCATACTGGAGTATGAAGCACCAGTCTGGAACCCACACCTGGTCAAGCACGTCAAGAAGTTAGAGAAAGTACAAAGGTTTGCAACAAGGCTAGCCCCAGAGCTCAAGGGAATGTGTACGAGGAAAGGTTAAGGGAAATCAGACTGACGACACTGGAGGACAGAGGGTCAGGGAAGACATGATAACGAATACAAGATACTGCGGGGAATAGAAAAGGGGTGGACAGAGATAGGATGTTCAGAGAGGGACACAGGGACAAGGGGTCACAACTGGAAGCTGAAGACTCAGACGAGTCACAGGGACGTTAGGAAGTATTTCTTCAGTCATAGAGTTTGTCAGCAAGTGGAATAGCCTAGCAAGTGAAGTAGTGGAGGCAGGAACCATACATAGTTTTAAGAAGAGGTATGACAAAGCTCAGGAAGCAGAGAGAGAGAGGATCCAGTAGCGATCAGTGAAGAGGCGGGGCCAGGAGCTGAGTCTCGACCCCTGCAACCACAATTAGGTGAGTACAATTAGGTGAGTACACCACACACACACACACACATACACACACACATACACACACACCACACACACACACACACACACACACAACACACACACACACACACACACACACACACACACACACACACACACACACACACACACAACCCACACTTCCCATGTCCAGCCAGAGTAAGCATCATTAGAACGGTGCCTTGGACTACTTTGCTAAGGAAGTGTAGGGGTAAATGTTTATACTCGCATGCCATCCCTAAACGTGGTATACTTGCAACATGTTTGATCCCAGGCTAATTTCATCTTGCATAACACAACAAGCTAGCCACTCGAGAGTTATTTAGAATGCCATGATTCCACGAAGACGAGTGGAAAATAAACAAATATTTTATATCAGTCAGGCAGTAGAATAGTTAACTATACATTTGGATGTTTAAATTTACTATAACTACTGACATAGGCAGGGACATCAGTCATTGCATTGTATCATTCTTGGCAGACGATACTAGAATTTGTATGAACGTAACATGCGTTGACAACACAGCGATCCTCCAAGATGATATTAGCCTAGTATCCAGTGGGTCACTGACAACAACATGATGTTCAGTGAGGACAGATTTCAGTTATTACACCATGGAAGAATGGAGGAAATAAAAACAAGATCAGAGTACAAGACAAATTCAAGCCATTCAGTAAAACCTAAGTCAAATGTGAGACCTGGGAGTGATAATGTAAGAAGATCTCACATTAAAGGAGCACAACAACGTTATTATCGCAAATGCAAGAAAAATTATAGAATGAATAACTAGAACCTTCAAAACAAGGGATACCAAGCTGTTTAGTAGTTCTCTCTAGACTAAAGTATAGCTGTGTTCTAATGGCCCCTTTGAAGGCAAATGAAATAGCTGAGCTGGAAAGTGTACAGAGAATCTTCAGAGTTCGTACAAACACAGCTAAGCACTTAAGTTACTGAGAGCACTTGAAGTCCCTAGAACTATACTTCTTAGAACGCAGGTGAGAAAAATATATC